CATACACAGATTTCAAAATGGAACACCTTCTGTGATTGGCCAGAGAGCAGATGCCAAAACCCTATTGGCCACTAGTGCTCCTTCCTTGGGGAAAGAGCAAGCTAGTGGCAGCAACAACAGCTCTGCAAAAAAGTTCCAGAGTTTTGCAAATGCAATGTATTTGCAAATGCATTGCAGTGAGTGGCTGTCTAGTTCCCTTCCCCCCCCTCCTGAAAACAGGAGCAAAAGGCGGGAAAGAGGGGGAAACGGGGTTTCCCTGCCATCCTTTAAAGTTTAAAGCTGCCAAATGCCATTTTTCGGCAATGCCAAAAACGCCGGGGGGGGGGGGCAATTTTTTTCGGGTTTTTTTTTTTTTTTGATATCCGAAATGGCTTGCAACGGGCATTTTGGGATCCCGAAAGCCGGGAAAAAACAAAAAAAGTTTTTCCTGGGATTTTTTCCGGTTCAGGATTCCGAAATGCACACCCCTACACAACATTCCAGAGATAAGGAGTGACGTAAGTTAGATATTTGTACCATCAACATAACATGTACAGCAGATTTCAGGGAAATAAACTTCTTGTGTCTCTTCATCCACCCACAGTGGGTAACAGGGTCTCAAAACTACTCTAGCCAGGTGGCTCAAAGCTTGCATATCATTAACCTACAAGTTCTGGTGTTCACTGGCACCCAGCACTGTTAGCACCTTCAAGGCGATCGGCTACCAATATTAGGAGGTTTTTGTACTCAAATACCTTTGGAGGAAATTTGCAAAGTGGCCACATGGCTCTTAATCTTGCCTTTTGCCTGCTGTTATAAACTATATATCCTTATGAATCTGCAGATGCTGCCAAAAGGAGTATCATCCTGTGTCGCTTTTCCACATAAGTGTGTGACAGCTACAGTGACTCAGGTTTCATGTACTGCTGGCTCAAGATCCCTACCTGGATTCCCTTATACACAGATGGAGAACAGACCATTTGAATTTACCATGAATAATTCTCCTTGTCAGTGGATGGAGGGAATCCAAATTAGAGACGTGAAGGCCCAGAAAAATTCGGGGGGGGGGGGAAGAGTTTTTTCCGGTCATTTCTAAAATATATATATATGGTATCAGATTGATCCAATTTCTGTGCACTGAGGACAAGCAAGTCCTAGGTTACAAACTAAACTCTCTAATGCAAGAACAAGATGCATTTCCTCCTTTAGGAGGTGCTATTGTCAGAAGACAATAAAAAGGTTTCAGTTTTGTTTTTGCATGTGGATGGGTATTCTGTTTGTGATAATTGTTTGGATACACTATATTTTTAATATGCTAGTTGTGATAATTTCATGCCAAGTAAAAATGTCCATAGTCATATTTTATGTTCCTAAAGTAACAGAATGACTTTCAATCTAGAAAAGACAAAAGAAATGCTAATGTAGCATTTTTTTCAATTTTTCTGAAAATTTCCGTTTCCCCCCGAAAAAAACTGGGGGGGAACGGGTTTTCTTCCGAGCTTCAAAATTTCCTGAAATTATACATCTCTAATCCAGATCCAGCCAAGATAATTTCACATTCTGCCACTGTCAACGTTTGAACAATATTTCTCTCCTTCTGTTGGGGGATTTTTGAGTTATTGCCTTTCTTATTCTTGTATCTTTTGGCATGTTTACTGTGCCCTTGCTTTAACTTACATTTTGGTTGGTCTTGATAAAAGATATATGGCTTTTTTGTATTTTTACCAATTATCCTTGATCTATTGAGATGCTGCATACCGCTTGATCCACTATATCCTGAAATTGAGATCCCCCCCCCCCCCCCCCCCCCGCACACCACAGGTAAAAATTTAGGGTCTGTAGTACAAGTGGGAGAAATAACCCAGCCTGGATTCCCTCCATCGGCTGGCAACAAGTTCCAGTCTTGTGTTCCTCAGCTCTAGATTTTTAAACAGTGCTGTTTAAACTTAAACCTGTGGACTCTTAGCAAGGTCTTGGAAACGTGCATGAGGCTGCTTAATGAACTGCTTAAAACACTTTAAGAAGCAGCTTAGCTTCTGAAGCTGGCAGACTGGTATAAAATGGAAAGTGATCTGTAGTGACATGTATTCTCACTGTTTAGCTTCCTCTTTTATCTTACAGATGGCTCTAACCCATATACTTTGAAGCTTTGCTTCTCTACTTCCTCCCATTTGTAGAACAGAGGACAGCATGTTAGAAGCTCCTTTCATCTTTTACAAACTTGAAACTGTATGTTGTTTGCAAGCTCTGAAATACTTGTTCATTTTCTTTGTCTCAATCTGCCAGTCATTTCCCCCTGTTTTGAATGAATGGATGTTTACAAACATCACTCTTTTTCCTTTGGCCTCCAAACATAGACGTTAGTGTATTATGAAGAGCTTGTTACTTCGTGCAACTGTTACCCACAGATGTTTGAACTGCCTTATGGGTAGCATGTGCAAAGAAATCTTATACTATCACAAACTTTAAAACACAGTTCCCATAGACCATGTAAAATGTACACGTTTCTTAAAGGATTTACAGTGGGTATTTCCCACTTGAGCTTCAATGGAAAATAGGATTATTATATTGTAATATTAGCTGTGAAAATCCTGGCTTCTATTCTTTGGTTGACTGTGTTATACAATCCTAAAAACAGAACTAAATTTGTAAAATCTTTTCAAATTGCACACAATGACCTTTAGAAATGTTAAAAGGTATCTGATTTTTGAGGATTCTTCACAGGAGAAGAGTTAATCCCTTTTTTGTTTTAAACTGATTTTAAATATTGTCTCCTCAGAATAATTTTTCACTCACATTGGCATGATGTATTCCTAATCCTAGCCTGGAAATTACATGCAAAAAATAAACTATCAACCCTGAATACTTTCTCATTTATTCATCTTGACAAATCATTGCTATTGGATGAAGCTCTATTAATGATGGTTTTGATTGCTGTATTTTCATAAACCTCCAGTTAGAACTGAAGATCTTTTAATAAAGAGGGACTTTCCCAGGGACTAAGAAGGCTTTCTTCACCTTTTTTTTTTTTAAATAGAAAGCCCATTTGTCTCTTCTGTCCTTTTCTCCCCCCACCCCCACATAAAGTCCAAATGTGTACTCCAGGGCTGGAGGGAGAAGAGTACAGCTTATGAACACAACGTCTAAAATAAGCCTGTTACAATAAAAAGAAAACTAGCTACAGACTTTTTCCTCTAATGTTTTTACTCGAGCCATATACATGGAGATTTAAAACAACATCAGTAAATGTGCTATAAGCTGTTGAGAGAGGCTGGATTTAAACATGCACCCCTCCCCCTTCTAGCCAGCTGTTCCATGCAACTACTTTTAGAGAGCTTTGCATGCACAGCCTGGGAGCTGAGTATGGATCCTCCATTTTGTTATATGCATACACTTGTGACCAACCTTTATTTGAAAATGTTGAGATTCAGTGTCCTTTAGAGAATGGAAAAGGGCACTAGAATCTGAAGAGCCACACTATTCTGCATATGCAAGGAGACTCAGACTTTCGCTTCCCATACTGCAGCCTTAAGTGTCTCACAGCAATTAAAGAGCCCAGTGAGCGGATCCAGGACCTTAGGCTCACTAAGGATCTAATGTTCTAGCTCTCCCTAGTGGTTGTGATGAAAACTTCTAAGGGAGCCCTGTAGGTACAGAATGGTTGTTAAAACTTACCTTGCTCAAAACCTACAGCTTGCAAATGTTTTGTGTACTAATGATGGAGCAGTTGTAGATTATAAGCAAAAATGTAAAGAGAGTATGGAATAAGAGAATCACTGCTCAGGAATGAGCCGTACAATCCTAAGAGGAGTTATACCCTTCTACGCTCATTGACTTCAATGAAGAGGGTGAAACTTTACTTACGTTTTTACTAAAAGGTTATTAGGTGAACTGAGGCAAGTCAGAGTCCAGTAGCACCTTAAAGACTAACAAAATCTGTGGTAGGGTATGAGCTTTCATGACTCATTGCTTACTTCAGATACAGCTAGAATGTGAGTCCATCTGCCCTATATATTGGAAAGTGGAGTGATTTCAGATGCCAAATGACAATAGCAGGTGTGATTGGATTAGGTGTGATATGCAGAGAAGTAGTAGTCATGGAGAAATCAACATGGGTAATGAGACAGGAAACCTAGTTCTTGATTCAGTCCAGGTGGATGGATTGTGTTGAGTCTCATTATCAGTTGCAATTCAGCAGTCTCTCTTTCTAATCTTCCTTATGAAATTCCTTTGTAAGATAACTGCTACCAGTGGTGTTCTGTTGCCATTTTCTTTAGGCTTGTCTTGTAGCAGGCTGTTCCTGGGTATCATTCTGGCCTTTTCAATCATCTTTCTCACCATATCAGGAGGATATTCTAGTTGCAAAAATGCCTGTTACAGATCCTTCAAATGAGTATCTCTGAGGGATTGGAGCAGATGCGAGTATAGCATAGGGCTTGGCTGTACACAGTGGGCTGTTTGATATGGTCGGGGTGGTAGCAGGAGGCATGTAGATATGTTTGCCTATCTGTCTGTTTCCAGTATAATGTGATAGTTATGTGTCACTCATGTGTCCATACTGTGCTATCCAGGAAGTTTATTTCTTCGTAGAGTAATTCATAGTTAGATTGAATACCACTGGTGGTCACCTACAGCGCACAATGCAAACCAGTTCAATGCATTATTAATGACCTACATCCTCTTAAGGGGGGTTAGTGTGAACTAGCTCAGTTTTTTAGCCTCCAGCTCACACATTTTTGTTTTAGCTCAGGAAGGATGGCTCCAGAGCAAACTAATTTATGCAGTAGCCAAATCACTCACTCACAACTTTAATGGCAGTAGCTCACAAAGTAGAATTTTTGCTCACAAGATTCCACAGTTTAGAGGGAGCATTGACTACAACCCATGCTGGATTCCCTCACACAGGCACTGAGGGGCCGACCTTTTCTTGCTTACAGACAGCCTGCCAACCTAAACCACCTCTCACCTGCAATGATGAACTGCTTAACAGTAACATGAGAAGAAGAGAAGAGATTGGATTTATACCCCGCCCTTCACTACCCAAAGGTGTCTCAGAGCGGCTTACAAATTCCTTTCCCTTCTCCTCCCCACAACAGACACCCTGTGTGAGCAATGCTCCCTCTAAGCTGTAGAGTCTTGTGAGCAAAAATTCTACTTTGTAAGCAACTGGCATTAAAGTTGTGAGCAAGCAACTTGGCTACTGCATAAATTAATTTGCTCTGGAGCCATCCTTCCTGAGTTAAGACAGAAATGTGTGAGCCGGAGGCTAAAAAACGGTGAGCTAGCTCACACTAACTCAGCTTAGAGGGAACACTGCCTGTGAGGTAGGTGAGGCTGAGAGAACTCTAACAGAAACTGCTCTTTTTTCAAGAACAGCTGTGCCAGAATTATGGCTTGCCCAAGGTCATCCAGCCAAGTGCAAGTGGAGGAGTGGGAAATCAAACCCGGTTCTCCCAGATTAGAGTCCGTACACTTAACCACTACACCAAACTGGCTCTCTTGGACTCTCATGGTCTCTGGTACCAAGCCTTCCACAAACCAAGATGCCAACTTTGTTCTCATATAGATCCTAGAAACACCATTGGTGGACCTAGCAACATCAGCCATATCAGGTTCATACTCCTCTGCTCATCCTCTAATGTGATTTATGCCATCATGTGTCAGCAATGCTGTAATGATTTCATGTTTTGGTGTGTGTGTTTCTTTAAATGTTTAGTTTGACTGCAGTACTGTAAGAAGAGTGATAGAGGGAGACATGTGTGATGTGATTGGCTGATGACTGAGAGTGTGGGAGGAGGGGTGTCTATGAGAGATTCTGTGTGTGAAGTTTGAAGAGAGCATAGTCTGTGGGACTATGGGAGTTGTTGAATCTATCCTGTGTGAATAAGAAACAGTTTAGTCTGTGTAAATATGAGTTTTGAGTCTATTCTGTGTGAATAAAACAAAGAGTTCAGCCTATGTGGCTATACAGATGAGAGAGAGGAAGATTAGACTGAGTGTCTATGCCTGTCAGAGTGGAGTTTTGGGAGTTTCAGCGACTGTTTGTGACACCAAGCTTTGCCAGTTATATTTACAAGTTCCTTTCACCAGCAACAGTTCAAAATAACCAGAAACATATTTTGTTCTTTATTAAATAAATCATCTTTTGTTTAAACTTATCCCAGAAATCAGAATAGTCCTTCCTCAGGGCCACATAGTCCTCTGAAGTGCCCAGACCCTAGGTCATTCTACCAAAAGAGAGATTTGGAATTTTTAATTCCTGGGGGCAGCAGAAATCTACCAAGTTTAGGTACACAGAGGGTATTTTAAAGATAAAAACAGTCCCCCCAATAAGAGAGAACTCCACAAATGCCCTTCCACTCTCTACATTGGACAAACAGGCCAGTCCCTTAAACAATCAATAGACATAAGTCTGACATCAGAAACCACAACATTCAAAAACCAGTGGGGGGACATTTTAACCTTCCAGGACATTCAGTTAGTGACCTAAAAGTAGCAGTTATCTTACAAAAGAATTTCAAAAGGGAGATTAGAAAGAGAGACTGCTGAACTGCAACTGACAAGCTCAAGAGAATGTATCCATATGGACTGAATCAAGACTGAGGTTTCCTGTCTCATTACCAATGCTGATTTCTCTGTGCCTACTACCTCTCTGCATTTCACACCTAATCCAATCACACCTGCAATTGTCATTTGCCTGCTAATGTCATTTGGCACTTGAAATCACTCCACTTTCCAATATATAGGACAGATGGACTCACATTCTAGCTGTATTTGAAGAAGTGAGCACTAACTCACGAAAGGGCTTCTAGTGTCCTGGCCCCACTGGTGGACCTCCTGATGGCACCTGGCATTTTTGGCCACTGACTGACAGTGTTGGACTGGATGGGCTATTGGCCTGATCCAACATTGGCTTATGTTCTTATGAAAGCGCCTACCCTACCACAAATTTTGTTAAGTCTTTAAGGTGCTACTCGAATCTTACTCTTTTCTACTGCTACAGACAGTCTAACACAGCTACCCATCTTGGTGCAAGTCACTCAGTCAGTTAACCTTACAATGTTACTGTAAGCAGGGGCAATGTCACAGAACACTGCCCTATTCTCTTATATTGAAGGATGGCATTTAAATGTAATAATAATTATGCCTCAAAGCTGCTGTCAGGGAGGAAGGAGAGACCTCCCAGCCAGAGGTGTCTGTGAAAAACCATGTCTGTATTTGCTACAACTCAACTTCAAAGGTCCAGGCAGCATAATTTCCATATTTTATATATATAGTTTACATATAGTTTACAAGTCTGTAGTCAGGCAGGCAAAAAGGTGAAAAACCATGTCTGTATTTGCTACAACTCAACTTCAAAGGTCCAGGCAGCATAATTTCCATATTTTATATATATCGTTTACATATAGTTTACAAGTCTGTAGTCAGGCAGGCAAAAAGGGAATATGAGGAGCATATAGCAAAAAACATAAAAACCAACAATAAAACTTTCTTCAAATACATTAGAAGCAGGAAACCAGCCAGGGAGGCAGTGGGGCCCTTGGATGACCAAGGGGTAAAAGGAGTACTGAAGGATGATAGGGAAATGGCTGAGAAGCTAAATGCATTTTTTTCCTCCGTCTTCACTGTGGAAGATGAGAAGTGCATGCCCACTCCAGAACTGCTGAGTTCGGGAGGGGTGTTGAAAGACCTGAGTCAGATTGAGGTGACGAAAGAGGAGGTCCTAAAACTGATAGACAACTCAAAAACTGATAAATCACCAGGC